GGCACCTCAGGGTTACAAGAAGAACTAGGAAGTAACGCCGGCCACGGCGAGCCCTGGAGAGGGGGCCGGCTAGAACCGCGTTCCTAAGAATCCACGCCACAGCAGGTCCCGTCCCGCGATGTCGGGGCCTTAGTGTCATCGAGCTAGCCCCAATCCTCAACCCGATCTTCAACTTCTGGTACACCATGCATTTTATTTGGACGAAAAGTAAAAGTGGAAGAGGTTCTCTCTGTATTTACTCTGTAATTCACACGCTGAGATACTGACCTCTGACTGTTAGGTGATCCAGATGGTTTTGCTTTTAATTATGATAAAAAAACATAGGAACCATGAGAGATAGCTTAGGAAAAGGTTTAGTCAAATATACAGATAGGAACTGTTCACTCAGTCATTAAGGAGAGCCGTGAACAAAAGATCATTTAAATGATTTTTTTTTTTTTTTTTTCAAATAGAAAAACTAAAGAACTGAACTATCACAGGAATTTTTCTTCACTGCAGAAGCTGAGATGTTCCAGTAGGAGATATCTTCACTTGATTGGAAAATAAACACCGTAACTCAAGGCTCTGCTGAGTACATAAAAAATCTGGTGAGATTCATTCCTGTCATTTTCCCTGTCGTTTCCCAGCATTGCTGTAAAATCCTGATAATACATTCCCAAGTACACCAGCCATTCCAGACCCACAGTCACTCTGCTCTTTAATTCACAGAACTGCTGAAAAAGTAGACATTTCTATCTAAAAGTAGAAAAAAAGGTTTGTATAGAAGGTATTTCTGTTATACAAGTATATTACACAGCTTGGGGAAGTAACACGTCCGAAAAGCTCTTCTCAACCACTGATACTTTAAGCTAAAATAGGAGAGAAAACAAACAAGCAAGCAAACAGGTTAATCTAATTACAGGAATTTAACAGTCACGAATATCACAACTTAATTTGCAAATTCGGGTGACAGTGACTTGGATTCAGATGCGCTCATAAAGCGGGATGAAACCTTAAGTCCATGAGCTGACAGGGTAAGGCAAACTCCAGTACAACAAGTCTCTGGATTTAAAAAAAAAAAAAAATCCATTGTCAAAGTTTCCTGACTTCGGGTCTCAAGCTACTGCTCCTGTTATAAGTTGGCCAAATTTAAGAAATCTGGAATAACAGGATCAGACTTGTGAACTCAACTCTGCAAGATGAACAATAGATCTGCAGCTCTGTGAGACTCTGCAAAATACTATTACTACGGAAAAAAAAAAAAGTCAGTCTAATGATTCTGACTCATAGTGAATTCCAATGAGAAGGACAACGTTTACTCTATAGATTAGAAACAACATTCTTTTTAAGGCAAAAGTGCTTTTACATCTTTGACTGAGAGACATATATTGATCCAAGGAGAATCTCCCTGTTGAATCTTCTAGCTTAAACATCCAGGAAGGCTCCCACCTGGCTCCCACATTCCCTGAAGGCAGGGCCACCATCTTATGTGAAAATGGGGAGATCACATTAGCTACGCGTATGCAGGGGGTTCAGATGGACACCACACGGCATCCCTGACACAGAAGCTGATTTACCCTAGGAGGGAAGAGGTCTACCACGTGGGGTCTGGTTCTTGCTTGATCTGAGAGCTTCCATCAGTCTCTTTTATTTCTATCAATGGAAACAAAATGGTACCGATTAATGATTTTGCAGACCTGCTCAATGATAAATCCATTCGTACCAAACTGTTTACTAAGATATGGTTTAATAATAAGAAGGACAAGACACCAAACATCAAAAGAGCTTCAGAGAGAGAAGTCTCTCTAGCAACGCATTCAAAATTTTGTTACTTAAGTTTTCAAAGTAACAAACATCTCCTGGCTTCTATGCATTTAAAGGACACACATTATGTTATCTAGGTTATGTAGCAGAGTCATTCGCGGAGAATTTACCAAGTCATCTGGGGGAAATGGAGCAAAAGCAGCTATGCGTCATCTCGCAACAGCATAACCTGCAAATCCAATTCACCCAGAAGAAAGAGAGCAAAACCACCACTCAGTTCTAGTGAAATAGTTTAAACACACAATCCTTTGTCCTGGTAAAAAGTCTTGGCTGGGCGAGGTGGCTCGTGCCTGTAATCCGAGCACTTTGGGAAGCCAAGGCCGGCAGGTCACTTGAGGTCAGGAGTTCCAGACTAGCCTGGCCAACATGGTGAAACCCTGTTTCTACCAAAAATACAGAAATTAGCCAAGCATAGTGGTGCAGGCCTGTAATCCTAGCTACTTGGGAGGCTGAGGCAGGAGAACTGCTTGAGCCTGGCAGGCGGAGGTTGCAGAGATCACACCACCTCACTCCAGCCTGGGTGACAGAGTGAGACCCTGTCTTAAAAAAAAAAAAAAAAAAAGAAAAGAAAAGAAAGAAAAAGAAGAAAGAAGAAGTCTTAAGGACTTGCAGGACCACCCCACCCTTTTACCTTCTGTGGCTGGAACTTCCAACTGGCTTGGTTCAGCTGATTCTAAAGAGAAACACAGAGACTGATTTCCACATTGTTCAACAGCTGCTTTATACTATGAAAGAACCCAGGAGGAGGAAGAGGAGAAAAGCCCTCCAGACTCTGTACAAACACAGGCGCATGATGAAACAATGCCCACGGTCTTGAGGTGGAGCACACAATTATCCAAGTGTACTTTCAAATTTCTGTTTCTCAAATGTGGTCCTAAGTTCACATATACAGCTGAAGTCTCAAAGAGCAGTCTTAACATAGCTCTACTGTGAAAACAACAAGTGCCTTAGTTATGCTTTCTTCCTCATCCTTCTGTTTACTCCCTTTAATAAAAGCTTTTCATTACTTTTTTGTTTTTGTTCATATGTTTGTTTTTTTGAGACACGATCTCCCTTTGTCACCCAGGCTGGAGTGCAGTGACGTGATCTTGGCTCAATGCAACCTCCACCTCCCAGGTTCAAGCGGTTCTCCTGCCTCAGCCTCCCAAGTAGCTGGGATGACAGGCACACGCCACCACGTCCCGCTAATTTTTGTATTTTTAGGAGATATAGGGTTTTACCATGTTGGGCAGGCTGGTCTCGAACTCCTGATCTCAAGTGATCCACCCGCCCCAGCCTCCCAAAGTGCTGGGATGGCAGGTGTGAGCCATCGCACCCAGCCTCATTACTTTCAATGACTCACATAGCACCGGGCCATTCCACTTGTTTTTTAAGGAATTTTTTAAAAGCATAATCTGTACATTTCTACTCAAGAACATTTTGCTCAATCACTTATGGCAGACATTAGAAACGGACGGCACAGAGTCAGGTTAAAATGACGACCCTCTTTCTCTGCCATTTCATCCTGCCCATTAATCCTGGGGTTCCTGATGTTAGGCCTGAGCTGGGATAGGGGGTGCAAATGGTTTGCAGCCCCCTGTTCTCAATCAGGACCCACAGCTTGAATTTATGTTTTGATCAGCTGTCAAACCCAGGAGTGAAAACCACAGAGAAGCATGTGTGCCCTGTGTAACTGAGTCCCCTCAGGGCAGGCGACTGAGTGGCAGGAGTAGCTCCGGGCCCTCCCCTGCCTCACTCACCTTGTATCACGGGGCCTTCTGACTCATTCTGATCAACCAGCTCTGAAAATGAAGCAGATTGGTTTAATAATGTAAGGACGCGTTGTTCCCTTTGACAAGCATTTTAACATACATTTGCTCAAGATGAGAAGGATACAAACCTCAGAGTTCTGACACGGTCCTCAGAATCACTAATTCATAGTAATTACCATAAAACTCTATTCCACACTACCGCACAAGAACAGGAACAAAAGAGAACATTTTATTTATGTATGTATTATTTATGTAAATAAATAATTTATTGAGACAGAGTTTTGCTCTTGTTGTCCAGGCTGGAGTGCAATGGCACGATCTCAGCTTACTGCAATCTCTGCCTCCAGGATTCAAGTGACTCTCCTGCCTCACCCTCCCAAGTAGCTGGGATTACAGGTGTCTGCCACCACGCCCAGCTGATTTTTGTATTTTTAGTAGAGACAGGTTTTCACCATGTTGGATGGGCTGGTCTTAAACTCCCAACCTCAAGTGATCCACCTGCCTCAGCCTCCAAACTGCTGGGATTACAGGCGTGAGCCACCGCTCCTGGACTCACTTTTGTACATTTTTAATAATAAAGTTAAGAGAACAAAAACACACTTGGAAAACTAAGTTTGGCTTAAAATACTACTGAAAATGACATCAATGTTAAGGAATTGAAAGGACATTTGTTTACCCGCTCGGCAATATTTGAAAGCCCAATGTGTGCCAGACACTGTGCTGAAATAGTAATAGAAGCAGGCACATTAAGTGACTGACTTTGGCACGAAATCCAAGCACAGTCATTATAACAGTCATAAAAGCAGTAATAAATATAGATTGTATTCGCTGAGCACATACCGTAGGCTAAGCACATACTATAGGCTAGATGCTGTTCTAGGTTAGGGGGCTGCAAACTCTTTTCTTACAGAGCCAATCAGTAAGCATTTTAGGTTTTGCAAGCACACACTTGCTGTTGCCACCTCTCAGTTCTGCCATAAACAAATGAACACGATGGTGGTTTCAATAAAACTTTATGCACACACCTCGGTGGGAGCTTGCTGACACTTGTTCTAGATGCTTTCCATCTACTGGAACGACTCCCCCAGAATCAGTGCTATTATTACCATTTTATGATTAAGCACATCGAGGATAGGAAAAGTTAAGAAGCTTGAAGAATTTTACAACTTGGAAGTGCCTGGTGTTTTTACTGAGGGCTAAAATAAGTATCTGGCATGGCTGCTGACGTAGGTGAAGGAACGTGATATACTTTAAACACATATACACACTCACACGCACACATGTCAGACCCCGGGGAAAAAACAGAAACACTTCACAAAATACTCACGGTTATTAATCACAAGTCCTGGAAATGGTCTAAAGAGAGAAACAAATTGTAAAGTATAATAATTTATTTTCACTCTATAAGGATTTACAGGTATAACTGTCTATTCAACTCATATCTAGCCCATGTCATTTACGTACTACAGTGAGAAGTATTATCCACGATCTTATAAACTTATGGAAGAGATAGATACGTATCCATAATAATAACACTGTTAGAAAATGTTACGCAGTAAATGGAGGAAAAACAAAAAACAGAAACGCCAGAGCAGGGAACAGAGTGATTCTAAGTTCAATGCACGGAAGAACGCAAGGGGCTTTTGGCCTAACTCCTGGGAATGATATGGAGAATGACTATGGGGAAGCAGAACAAAAATATGAGATTTTGAGGGAAAGAAGGTTGGAAGAAGACGAGTGAATGAGAAGAAGCCTCAAGAGGATTTAATGAGATTTCTGAGTGCCAGTCCTAAGAGATGTGAACTAGAGGCAGTGGCAGTTTGATGATGAACTGATTGGGTAGGTTGAGTTGTAGCTAAGTTTCTGGGGCGCTGGAAGAAAAAGAGGAAGATAACCTGGGGTTGGTGCTCAGGTGGGCATCTCCTTTTTTTTTTTTTTTTTTTTTGAGACGGAGTCTCACTTTGTCGCCCAGGCTGGAGTACAGTGGCGCCATCTTGGCTCACTGCAAGTTCCGCCTCCCGGGTTCAAGCCATTCTCCTGCCTCAGCCTCCTGAGTAGCTGGAACTACAGGCATGCACCACCACGCCCGGCTAATTTTTTGTATTTTTAGTACAGACGGCGTTTCACTGTGTTAGCCAGGATGGTCTCGATCTCCTGACCTCATGATTCGTGCGCCTCGGCCTCCCAAAGTGCTGGGATTACAGGTGTGAGCCTCCGCGCCCGGCCTAGGTGGGCGTCTCTTATGGTAACAAGGATACAGGAAGGAATGTGGCACTCAAATGGTGTTAGAGGATGAGTACAATCATCATGCCTGCTCTACAGGAGGGAGCTGACACTCTCCGTGGTAACAATGGTCACTCTCATTTACAGACAAGGAACAGAGTGACCAGGCTAACAAATGGCTGATGCGAGGTTGAATCCGTCTGAGCCAAAGCCTGTGACACGGCGCCCTAAGACAGAGGTTGGCAAAGTTTTTCTTTCTTTCTTGAGATGGAGTCTCACTCTGTCGCCCAGGCTGGAGTGCAATGGCATAATCTCGGCTCACTACAACCTCCACCTCCTGGGTTCAAGCGATTCTCCTGCCTCAGCCTCCCGAGTAGCTGGGACTACAGGCACGTACCATCATGCCCAGCTAACTGCTGTATTTGTGTACAGACAGGATTTCACCATGTTGGCCAGGCTGGTCTGGAACTCCTGACCTCAGGTGATCTGCCTGCCTTGGCCTCCTAAAATGCTGGGATTACAGGCGTGAGCCACCGTGCCTGGCCAAGGTTTTTCTATAAAGTGCTAGAGAGTAAATATTTTAGACTTTGAAGGCCATGCCGTCTCAGTCCCAGCTATTTACTCACTGTGACAGGAAAGCAGCCATGGATAATACGGGCGTAGCTGTGTTTCAGGAAGTCTCTAAAAATAGGAGGCAGGCTGAATTTGGCGAACAGTCCTAGTTTGCCAACCCTTTGCCAAAGAATTAAAAGAGTCGGCTTAGGCAGAGGCACATCTAACATTCTAACGATGAAACAAGTTATCTTTATTTGTTCATTGCGTCGCACAGGAAGCCTGATTCGAGGACTACCTGTGGCTGCGTTTTAGATGAGTCAGCCTCATGAGCTCCAGACTCGTTCCTGTGACTAAGCAGAAAACTCTCACTTACCTAATGACCGTGAATTTGATAAACTCGGCAGAATCTAAGATCCTTCTCATGGAGCTGATTTCCAGGTAGCTGGGGGCTTTGAAGGACACCCCCGGGGGCATGCCGTCAACCACCACACAGCCAGGGTTAATTGTGATTTTCCTGTAGGGAACTTTCACAGGAAAACCCATACCAATGGCTTCACCTACAGTGACAGTGAGACAAACAGCACAACAGCACAGATGAACCCACTGCCTTAAAAAGTCTGTCAAAAGCACCAGATGAACATTTATTTTAAAGACTGTCTCTGCTGTTAACTAAGGTCTTTGTACACGTCAAACAAATTTAAATATGAACCTTAAAAAAATTTGTTTTTGAGACAGAGTCTCACTCTATCACCCAGGTTGGAGTGCGATGGCTTGATCTCAGCTCACTGCAATCTCTGCCTCCCAGGTTCAAGCAGTTCTCATGCCACAGCCTTCTGAGTAGCTGGGATTACAGGCATGTGCCACCATGCCCAGCTAATTTTTTGTATTTTCTAGTAAAGACAGGGTTTCACCATGTTGGCCAGGTTGGTCTCGAACTCCTGGCCTCAACGAATCCACCCGCCTCGGCCTCCCAAAATGCTGGGATTACAGGCGTGAGCCACACTGCCAGACGGTGAACGTTAAATTCATGAACTTTTGTACTGACAATCCATAATATAACACTAATGGTATCTTATTAAATAAATTTAGCATAAACAAAACACTTACTTTTAAATTTTAATTCCTTTTCTATAGGAGGATTACAACCACCTAACCATCATCTGCTGAAAAGATCTTATTAAAACAAATCTCTTTGCTTATAGCAACTGTACTTTGCAAATGCAAAACTTACCAAATTTCCGACTAAAGAGGTCATTCACTTGTTCTCTTAGCTGTCTAGCTTTTTCAACTTTCGAGAGTCTTTCATTATCATCATCTAAAACAGTTCAGAGAAAATCCAAAACTTAAATACTGCCTTTTTTTTTTTTTTTTTGGTAAAGAGATGGTATCTCACGATGTTGCCCAGACTGGCCTCGAACTCTTGGGCTCAAGCGATCCTCCTGGCTTAGTCTCCCAAGTAGCCAGGACTACAGGTACAAGCTGCGGCTCAATGATGCACTTTTAATCCCAATTTACAGGAGCTCTGTGTAATGTTTTCAAGCATTTGCCATTTTTAAATGATTTAAGTATTTGAGCACTTTGAACTCAATTAAATTTGAAATTGTTTAAAATAATGCCTAACTAAAAATGTTACAAACTTATTCTTGTTATAAAGACCTTTACCTGCTGTTTTATATAGATTTTTTATTTCCCAGACGGAGTATCGCTCTGTCACCCAGGCTGGAGTACAGTGGCGCCATCTTGGCTCACTGCGACCTCTGCCTCCCGAGTTCAAGCATTGCTCCTCCCTCAGCCTCCCAAGTAGCTGGGATTACAGCCACGCACCACCACGCCTGGCTAATTTTTTTTGTATTTTTAGTAGAGACAGGGTTTCACTATGTTGGCCAGGCTGGTTTTGAACTCCTGACCTCAAGTGATACTCCCGCCTCAGCCTCCCAAAGTGCTGGGATTACAGGCGTGAGCCACCGTGCCCGGCCTTATACAGAATCTTTTTAAGGAACAGACTAGACACATTTGGGTGGTTAACAGGATTTAGCTCATGCCAAGTGCCAAAACTTGCGGGAGCTGTTTGGATAGCAAGTGTATTTGGAAGGCAACTGCTGCAGGGGTCTGGGAGGAGCGCCAGGCAATGTGTAATGTATCTGAGTACCTGGAGGGGCTGAGCAAACCTCTCTAGCTGGGAGAGTCCAAGAGGCCCTGAAGAGACCCCCACAAACGATGATGGAAGCAGAGAAATCATACCTGGAATTGTCACCTGAATGATGTTAAGGTCTTCTACACCTGAGGCAGTAGTATTAACGTTGGGTGATGAATTTATTTTTCCTGAAAATATAAATTTAAAATCAGAATTCGTAGAAAACATGGTCAACATCTCTAATAATCATGCTGTCTGAGACTGTTTGATCTCAGTCCTGTTCAAGGTTCTTTCTTTCCATGGTACATCATTTCAGGAAGACATGACGCCCCCTGAAGGGCTGCTTTTCACTGGTTTTCTCTTCCTGGCGGTGCTTAGGAGAACATCACACACAAACAGAGCCACCCAATTATTAAAGAACTGAAAACTGTGAAATAGCCCAAACTACAACTTCGAATGGGTTTTCCTTTTTTTTCTTTTTTTTTCCTTTTTTCTTTTTCTCCTGAGATGGAGTCTTGCTCTGTTGCCCAGGCTGGAGTGCTATGGTGCGATCTTGGCTCACTGCAACTTCCGTCTCCCAAGTTCAAGCGATTCTGCTGTCTCCTCAACCTCCTGAGTAGATGGGATTACAGGCGCCCGCCACCACACCTGGCTAATTTTTTATATTTTTAGTAGAGACAGGGTTTTGCCATGTTGGCCAAGCTGGTCTCGAGCTCCTGACCTCGGGTGATCCACCCGCCTTGGCCTCCCAAAGCACTGGGATTACTTGTGTGAGCCATCGCGCCCGGCCTCAATGGCTATTCTTTAAACAATGTTTGTAAACCACAGCTGCACGGTGCACGCCTAAAAGCGTGTGTTCTATAGCAATGAAAATACAGAAAATGCACTCACTGGGAGGGCTCTTAGAGGAGGTGCTCTCCTTAATCGCCGTCTCAAACATTTCGGGCCTATAGACAAAAGAGAAAAAAAAACGTGCTGATCAAACAGTAAAACTCTGACGTTAAAATGTAAACAACTCAAAGATTTACAAACCAGTAACTCTGTAAAGTCTAAATTCAATTCTTAGTCATGAAGAACAGAAATCATATGGTTATCTAAAGAACCACAGCCAAAAACACAAACCACAATTGTAAATTTAACATCCATCGCTGCCTCTCATTGGCCGCCCTTCCCCTATGCTGGTTTTATTGGCATCTTCTTTATAAGGGTAGAATGTATGCTGAAAAGAATCAGCGCCAGACTTGAGGATGGAAAGAGAAAACGCCCCACGTGTGCAGCATGGAAACACAAGATGGGCTGTGAAAACAGGAGCACTTGAGGCTCTCGCTCCGCAAGTGGAAGCAGAGGGCTTAGGGGCTGCCAAACCTCTGCAGACCTGGCCAAAAGTATAAAAGGTGGGCCACTGGCCAGGCATGGTGGCTCATGTTCATAATCCCAGCACTTTGGGAGGCTGAGGTGGGCAGATCAAGAGGTCAGGCATTTGAGACCAGCCTGACCAACACGGTGAAACCCCATCTCTACTAAAAATACAAAAATGAACCAGGCGTGGTGGCACGTGCTTATAATCCCAGCTATTCGGGAGGCTGAGGCAGGAGAATCGTTTGAACCCAGGAGGCGGGATTTGCAGTGAGCCCAGATTAGGCACCACTGCACTCCAGTCTGGGGTACAGAGCAAGACTCCATCTCAAAAAAAAAAAAAAAAGAGGTGGCCATTATGTTTGGCAAGGCCAGCTTTGCTTGAGAGCATCCCCGGGTGACTCAAAATTAAGCCTAACACCAAGTAAATGAAACCTAAAATTCATTTCAATTGATTTCAAGTAATTCATGCACATTAGCATGTACTATAAAACTCCAATTATTCTTATTTCTTTTTTTTCTTTTTTGAGACAGAGTCTCACTCTGTCACCCAGGCTGGAGTGCAGTGGCACAATCTCGGCTCACTGCAACCTCCACCTCCTGGGTTCAAGCGATTCTCCTGCCTCA